AAATTAGGTTTATCTTTCAGATTTACAGTAACTCAGCTTTCAGGTGAGCAAATTCCACAAAGCCCCCTGCATATAATCCTTGTGTTAGGGAAAGTCAAATTCACGATTTTAAACTGACAAAAGTGTATAGCAGATTCAAGCAAACACGTTTATTTCTGAACTTATGAACTTCATCCACCGCATAAACAAAAGAAATCCTTTAAGTAGTTTCAAAAGACTAGACTTCAGTAACTGGAACCAAGTTATTAAGCAGTCACATCCCTGAACTTAGGACAATTAGTGCCCACAAATCAGGTTTGTGAAACATACACAGTCGGAGTTGATATGTAACACAAATTCACTAGACTGATTTATTGTAAAATAATGTTAAATAAACACTTATTTTGCAATGACTTCACACACCTTTATCCTAAGATGACGTTGTGCAGAAGAAAGAGGACCCCAGCTCTACCTATGAACATCCAAAATGATTCATTCTTCTTTCTATGTGCAACACAGCTCCCCCCCCAAAGGACAGTCGAACTGCTCCTTAATTAGATTACTCCAAACTGCTGACAGTTTTGAGCACAGTAGTGGGGATCAATAGTAGTAATAATAGAAACTATATTGCAACACCAGCAGATTAGAAATATTTATCAATAGGTATATTGCATTGTATGCAGTTTCATCACCTGCAGATTTTAGGGAGAACTTACTGAACTTAAGTTTTCTAATATAAAGAATATAAAAAGAAAAACCAACAAAAAACCCTAAACAAGAGTAGCACTTGCTTACCATGAAATGAGGTTGTGTTAAAATACGCTTTAGCTCCTTTGCATCATTGTTCTCTGGGTAACATGAAATTTCTTCCAATACCTGCAAAACAAGTAGGAGAAATGCTCATAGTAACTTTCTTTTAAATAAAGGTATTAATCAAACAAACAAAAACCTTCACTGGTCAGTCAGAGTATCTCCAAATGATTATACAAAATAATGTTTTTGACAGGATAGGGTTTAGGAGAATGTGCTCCTCCCCCCAGCCGCTCTAAGAGAATAAAATACCTCATTTCATTTTTCTTTCTGAAACAGATTAAAGCAAAAATTTGAAGGCAACAGTTGCTCTTTTTTCCTCCAACAGCTAAATATATGGAGCCAGAAATGAAGCGCTAACTTACAGATGACACCACCAACAATTGCTACTTTCACGCATGGTCACAACTTATTAAAGCAATCACTTTAAAAGCAGAATTAAAAATACTCATAACCCCTTCTCTCCACAAATTAAATTGTTAAAGACATCAAGTGTAGGTGGTCCATCTGCTACCTCATCTCCAAGCTCCAGATCTTATAAAATCTGAGCCATACTTCCGCTTATCACTGGTGGAAGGAGGAGGCAGGAGGCATTGCCTGCAACCTGCTACTTTCACCTTTATTTTCCACATGCAACTACTTGGGTAATCGAAGCAGAGTACTTTGCTTCTGGAAGCACCCCCCTGGATTAAGTGCCAGGAAATTTTGCAGAATAGAACTTTGGGGTGTCTATCAGTGTGACTGCAGTTAGTACACAGTGCTTTAGTCTTCCCATCCATTCTATTTTAATAGCACTATAAACAATGTTTTCCTATGACATTACCCCCAACAACTATTTTTAGTGATAATATATAATACAACTATTTTTTTTTACTACTTGCAATTAATAAACAAACAAAATACTATTTGTCAGGTACAAGAATTAAGAACATCTGTGTTTATTTATCGTTCATCTTAATGGGCCATCTTCATTGCATTGCTAGGTTGGCTCTTCTTAAAACTATCTATGATAAACTTGTTTTTTTCAATTTAAAAAGCTGATACCTAGAAACATATTTTTTGTGACTAAGTAATATATAAACTGAACATGAAAGATACTGCATTTACCAAACAGGAGTATTCCTTTAAAGACCACTATTGTTGCAGCAAAGGTTAAGTGATGAAACTGAGTAATATATATAAACGTTACAGACATAATGGAATTCTGCAAGTTCATGCAACATGTTATGTAACTTAAGTAGGCAATGGTAGAATTCCAGAAATAATTCAGATTATGAGACAGAATACATATCAGTATCTTAATGATGAAAAAAAATATCTCCCTTTAAATACAATCAAACTTTCAAAGTAAAAATTATATTTTAAAGCTGTTACCTCTTTGGCTCTCTGTACAGCATCACTTGGAGGATTCCTGATTTGTGGTGAAGATTTTGTGTTTATTTTGTCATAAAGCTGAAATAACAAGAAAGCAGAGTACTGAAATCATATGCTACTTTATACAAAGTAACGACGAGCGCTAACAATAGCCTGCTTATGTTACCATGATTAAGATGACTGTTAAACTGTAAGTCCCACAGATGTTTTGTATACAAAATCTAGCAGCTTAGAGTTTTGGCTTTTCATTTTTAAACATTTCCTGATTTGAACAGTGCCATAGATTCAGAGTTCATAGGATGACATGGGAAAGTTCAAGAGGTTAAGGGATTCTGCAAACCTCCCATGCTTTTTCCACAGATTTAAAGAAACTATATTTTTCTGCTAGCAGTGATCCTATGAATCTTGAATAAATGCTGTAAATGATACATTCTGCTACAAAAATCAAACTGATCTGCATATCCCACTTTTTTCAATAAATCAATCATCAAACATTCCAAACAGTAATTCAAATAAACTTCAGAATATGGGAAAATGCTCTTGAAGATAGAAAGCTACAAAAGCCTAAGTCATTGGAGAAAAGAAGAATAAATCTTTTCAGGAAAGAGGGCTCACAAAAAAAGAATACCCTTATTTTACTAGGGTTTTCTATTGGACAGAAGAATGCCAATGTATTTAAATAGGAAATTGTAAACCTTCCAGGTCAGTTATTTTTTTTAAAACACCCTCAACTATGTGTGTATGTAAACAAACATTCAAAATACACAGGGGACTTTAACACCTTCAGCAAATCCTAACACTGTAAAGGATGAGTTGATAAAAAGCCCCCTTTGAACTGCTCAGCAAGGAGTTCTCAAAAGCTGCTTCTGAGCAGCTGACAGCTCCATGGTTCATGCATGTTTGAAAAAGGTAATCTTGTCAAGCTACAGAAATGCCCACTTCTCTTTCTCACATGAAGTATCATTCAGTTTTAGAAGAGATGTAAATTGCAATAAATGCAGTCCAGTATCATTGTACTTTTCCTTGTGTTCCTTAAAGATTTAATGCACATGTTGAACATTTCAAGTCCGTACGCAAATAAATACAAAAAAAAGAGGAAACAGTGCCACTTCCAAAAAACATTGCTTGCAGGACATTTATACCACTGTCTTGGGGAAAGAAAAGTCAAGCTAAATCAGTTTCTTCACATCCAGCAAATTCACCTTGTGCTGCCAAAACACCGCTATACTCAACAGCTTAAGCAGCCTTGACCACTGTTTAAGTTTTTAAAAGAAAAGCTTTCTGATAGCTTATAGTTCAGGAGATACTTTAGTTGTATACACAATTATGTGTTTTTACCTTTTCTTAAATAAGTAAACAAAACCTACCCAACTCCAGCAACCCCAAATTATTAAGTATCACATTTATACACCTGATAAGAAACTGCATCAAGCGCTTTGTACCATGTAAAGCACAGTAGGGGCTGTGGAAAATGCACGATACCCAACATGTTATTGACTGTATTTTTCTAAGTCATACACACATCCTGTTTAAGATTAATGAAATTACAGAAAAGTTAGCATGAATATATTTTTATTAGTTATTTTTAGCAATTGCTTAAAAGCTAAGTTGCTGGTTTCACTCGAGTTGCTATACTACTGTGATCCAAAACAAGTAGCAGTTTATGAAAACAATTTTTCCTCACTATCACGGGAGAGGATAAGTTATCTTCTGAGACTAGGAAGGAGGCAAAAGGAAAGTAGGAAGCAAAGTGCCTCCAAGAATGTTTAGAAAGAAAACAAGGCAAAGTTCAGACTAAACAAGGGTGCGTTTAGTTTTCCATAGAGCCTTCATGCTGAGGCACAGCACTTAAATTTCATCTTTCAAGAGTGCTACTTATGGAGATTTGCTTCCAAGGCATCAAACCATTAGGAGGGAACTCTGACAGTACTTAAAAGAAAAACCTTTGTATTTACATTAAGGCTTAAAGCCTATATATTGTCCAAGCTACGGAATCCACTCATTGTTTCTGGGAGTAGAAGACAGCCTCAGCTACAGAAAGGATGTATTTTTGGTAGCTTCACTAACACGAGCAGATCTCTTCTAGAGAATCTTCTTGGGTACTCTACCTCCAAAGCTCATTTCAGCGGAAGAGACTCGTTCCAGTGTCTAATGGAAACACTATGCGAATAGCCTGGACCACATTACATTTTAACCATGAGCATAATGTCTTTTTCTCTAAAATTCTGTTCAACCTTAACTCTAAAAAGCAAGAAGCAAACAAACCCCACAATAAATCTGAAAAGAAACTTGAACCTCTGCAACTTGAAATGCATTTTGAAATGGTAAATTCCAAATTAAAACCAGTGACATTTCAGGAAGGCATACTGATTTAAGGAAGAAAACAATACATTTTTTAATTTGTTTAACTGGGTTATGGGCTACTTTAACCTCTGCATGCAAGGAAAAAGAAAAGCATATTTTCCACTCAAAAAAAGATCATACATCTAAGAACAAAGCATACAAGTAATAGTTAAAAGAGGAGGAAATATCTTGGCAGGGGGAAGGGGGAATCTCAGGCAGCCAGAAGACAAAGTCAGCTACGTATGGGTTTCTTCCAGGGAAGACTGCAGCTAAATGCCATACCATAATGAGAACATCAATTAAGAAATAAGATAGTTATATGTGTTTGTGGCTTATCTTGTTTAGGTTCACATGTCATTATTTATTTCTAATGCATCCTTAGGAGAAATTAAAATAATATTACATACAAGATTGTATCAGAAGTACTACTTCTAAATTAACTGTTTATGTAGTCAAAGCAAAAATGAGAACATACAACCAAGATATGTGTCTTTAAAAACATCTCAAGTAATAATAAGTAAACCCAGAAACAAAGGAAGTATTAGCAACTCCTAGTACTTGCTTTATACTTAAAGTTTTTTCAAATACCATTTCAACAATGCTTTCACAGAATTTTTTTGGACATTAAAAAAAAAAGTCTGGTTCTAAAGTGTCTCTTGGTTGGTACATACTCATATAAACAGAAGGACAAATCCAGGATATTATTTTGTATCTCTCATTTCTGATTCTAGTAACTGTGTGTTCAGTCTGGACAGAATTTTTTAGCATTATGTTATTATGTCTATTTCAAAAACCACATTAACTCTAATGATTAGTCTTCACCGGTTACAGAAGATGATTAGAAGCTTTCTGCCAGAACACAGCAGAAGCTGTGGTAAAATGAGCAAAGCTTATGCTATGTATTAATGCGCCAGAACCGGTGAGGCAGTCCTACCTGCTTTGTAATCTTTGAAAAAAGACTTTTCCAAATTTTTGCACTTAAACAATAGCCATAGCAGAAGCAATTTAGAAGAAGGAATTTACAGCTCCATAATTTATCTCTGAAAGCATGTGAATTCAGAGTTCTCATTTATACACATTAACAAGAACATTTGTTCCCTTGGATATAAGAATCCAACCCACCTTTACATGAACATTTAACAAAATGTTCAAGAAAACTCTGAATGAAACCTGTTTGCACACATCATAAATTAAAGTAAACATTAATGACAATTACATCATAGATTAAAGTAAACATTAATGACAATTACAGCCAGGTTTATATACTCCCATGGTGCAGAATACATTACTTTGTGCAGTTAGCTACACATTTTTAATCACAGAAAACCAGCCTGTTTGCAATGCTGTTGTCCTTCAGCAGCCCTGCAACTCTACGGTCCTTCAGGGACTGTACCAAAGGTGGTTTCTCGTCAAACAGAATTAACTGGTTCATCCTTCATTGTCCTCAACAGAATGCTTTTCTCTGCAATACCAACAGACTTTCAACAGGGCAAAATCTGTCTGTACCCCAATGATGGCCTTTCTTTTTGCTGGGACACTCTGCCCCCTCCCCAACGTCCAAAAATTTCACTCAGTAATAAGCATTAACATAAAAATAAATTCTAATAATAATAATAATAAAAAAAAGTTGTAAAATGCCACAGCAATTGTAACCTTTGGAATTTCCAGACTTTTGAATACTTTGCACCTCCATCTCACTCCTCAGCACGAGTTCTTCTGCATTTGCTACACAGAAAATCAAAATTAAGAGCTTGCTCTAATAAACCTTAACAATCACAACCGATATATTAACAAAACTTGATGTAAAAAACATAAATTGACATTACAGCTAATTAACAGAATAGTACTGCTTCTTAAACAGACAAGTTTTACTTTAAATTTTGCATGCTAGAATACAAACGCTATGAAGAGAATACCCACAACACGTCAAGTACTGTCACTATCAGTTGACCAGCTTTCTTAGTAGGAGTGGAGACTTTCTGTCTTCTGCCCGTATAAAGGGAACTCCTTTCTTCTGATATTTAAAAGCAGACAGCCCAAAGCCTTATCCACAATCATGCAGGCAAGACAAAACAACAAACTCTTCTCTTCTGACTGGTTTTTCAGATGTGCAGAAATTCCTTTTTAACCATTTCCTGTAAGAGGACTCAGAATACTGCCCAAACACAACCCCCCTTCAATGTCACACTGAAAAATTTAGATATGTGACAACTAGCAGAACTTTAGCCTCACTGCCTGGTCTAATCTTGAATGTAGTTAAAGTTAGATCACACAGTGAAATCGGTATTTTATCTATCCAAAATCTTGACGTTTCTGTGATGCAAACAAGAAACTTGTTAAAACAAGAGCTACTGAACTGCTACAGCATAAAACTCCATGATCTTTCGATCCTTTGTGAGGAGTCAGTTAGAATTCAGGCACACAGATACTGGGTTGCCAACCTCAAATATTAAATCCCCAAACTGAAACATCTAAAAATAATTATTAAAACATTTCCTTATATATTTGACTGTTGCTTTCTGAACAAGACAACCATATGCAACACAGTGATACTAGAGGATTGCTATTAACCAATCAAGGTTTTGTACCATCTAAAAATTCTCAGGTGGAGGTGCTGCCCCTTGCACAGCAACATTTACTAACAAATATGCTTGTTGCTCTGTTCCTTTCACAGCTCCCTATCGTGGTACTTCATTTACCCCAGAGGTTTCCTGTGCTGCAAGTCTGAAAGAAAT